CTCCTGTACTGGATATTCAGTAATGTAAACCTTGATTAATCAGCTTTGAATTGTAGAATTGGCATGAGTTACTGCAGCAGTGAATTTGTTCATATCCAGCTTGATAAATGAAGCCCAGTCTTATTAAATGATTGATAAATGGGGCACCAAAGTGCAGACTTGTTGGTAGACTTGGTGGAGCACCACGGGGATTAGGGCACCATTTGAGACAGAGTCATGGAGTACACAACTTTAATTTGACACATTTAATTGTTTTGTTTTTGTGCTTCTTGAAGGAGGCATTATGTTTTCAGGTTGTCTGTCCGTCCATCTGTCTGCCCAAGATTCTCTTTAGCGTGTTAATTGGCGCGAGTTACTGGTAATTTTATTCGCCTGTTATGTTGTCAAGTTTAGCTTATTTATATCAGTTGTACATGCAAACTTAATAAAATGAACTGTAAAACTAGCCACTCGGTTACAAAATAAACAGAGCCCTACAAAGAGATAGTGTGTCGCTGTAGTAGCTGACATGCTGCAGTGGCTGAGCTGCATTGCTGGAACATTGAATGCACGCCATGTTTAATCATTGTTTTCAGCTCACCGTGAGCTTTGATTTTTATGGAGTTTCTGGACGTTACTAAATGCAAATCAGCTGTGCTGTGAATGCTTCATCATTTACAGGTGATTGGCATAAGCATGCGAGTGTGTTTTGTAGGTCTGACGGGATTTTTTTAGTTCAGTTTGGCTTACGCATACGTTTACACGCAATGGGCGTTATTTATCCATTTTTTAGTAAAGTTGTGTGTGAATGTGTGCATAAGCCAAACTGAACTAGAAATTTCCCCCAGATTTACAAATGATTCGGAAACTCTGATTTCTTTTGTACTTGCGTGCGTATAATGATGAATGGCAATCACCCATAAATTACCGTGCATGGAACAGCTGATTTGCATTTGGTGACGCCCACAAAACTCATAAAAGGCAAAGCTCACAGGGGGAGAAATGAAAGTTATTTTGACTTGCGTGTAAGTCAGTGAAAATATATTGGCAGCATAACAAACACTCGAAAAGGCCAAAATCTGGAGCTGAATTACAAGAAAGGTGAATTAAGTGAGGTGAAAAGAAAACAACTTCTTCTTCTTCTTCTTCTTCTTCTTCTTCTTTCGGCTTTTCCCTTGAGGGGTCGCCACAGCGAATCATCACTTTCCACCTATCCCTATCTACTGCATCCTCAACACTTGCACCCACTAGCTTCATATCCTCATTTATTACCTCCATATACCTCCTCTTTGGCCTTCCTCTTCACCTCCTGCCTGGCAGCTCCATGTCCAGCATTCTCCTACCAATATACTCCCTCTCCCTCCTCTGAACATGTCCAAACCATCTCAATCTGGCCTCCCTAACTTTGTCCCCCAAACGTCCAACATGAGCTGTCCCTCTGATGTACTCGTTCCTAATCCTGTCCAACCTGGTCACTCCCAAAGAGAACCTCAACATCTTCAGCTCTGCTACCTCTAGCTCTGACTCCTGTCTCTTCCTCAGTGCCACTGTCTCTAAACCATACAGCATGGCTGGTCTCACCACTGTCTTG